CTGGATTATTCTATAGTTCCTGGATGTTTTGGCCCATGGTGCAGTCTGGATTATTCTATAGTTCCTGGATGTTTTGGCCCATGGTGCAGCCTGGATTATTCTATATTTCCTGGATGTTTTGCTCCATGGTGCAGCCTGGATTATTCTATATTTCCTGTGGTGCAGCCTGGATTATTCTACAGTTCCTGGATGTTTGGCCCATGGTGCAGCCTATTCTATATTTCCTTGATGTTGTGGCCCATGGTGCAACCTGGATTATTCTATATTTCCTGTGGTGCAGCCTGGATTATTCCAGAGTTCCTGGATGTTTTGGCTCATGGTGCAGCCTGGATTATTTTATAGTTCCTGGATGTTTTGGCCCATGGTGCAGCCTGGATTATTCCATAGTTCCTTGATGTTTTGGCCCATGGTGCAGCCTGGATTATTCTATACTTCCTGGATGGTTTGGCCCATAGTGCAGCCTGGATTATTCCATAGTTCCTGGATGTTTTGGCCAATGGCACAACCTAGATTATTCCATAGTTCCTGGATGTTTTGGCCCATGGTACAACCTGGATTATTCCATAGTTCCTGGATGGTTTGGCCCATGGTGCAGCCTGGATTATTCTATAGTTCCTGGATGTTTTGGCCCATGGTGCAGCCTGGATTATTCCATAGTTCCTGGATGTTTTGCTCCATGGTGCAGCCTGGATTATTCTATATTTCCTGTGGTGCAGCCTGGATTATTCCATAGTTCCTGGATGTTTTGCTCCATGGTGCAGCCTGGATTATTCTATAGTTCCTGGATGTTTTGGCCCATGGTGCAGCCTGGATTATTCTACAGTTCCTGGATGTTTTGCTCCATGGTGCAGCCTGGATTATATAGTTCCTGGATGTAGGCCTCTTGTTTTAGCTCCGGACTCTCCTCCCATCCCGCGCGCTCTCTCCCATTGGCTGCCTCCTGTCCTCGCGCACATCCCGTTTATATAAACCTGGGGCCTCACACCTTCTGCAGGGTCAAATTTCCTCCGCGCATCAGCGACTTCTCCCTCTGCAGGACCAGATCTCAGCTCCAGCAGCAGCGGGATTGCAGCGCGTCACCGCCTTTCATCTCAGGAATTATTCCCTCTTTTCTTGTCTCAGAAGTTTGTTTTTCAGGAAGCTAAAGATGTAAAATCCTTGTTTTTCGCTCTGATTGGTGAGGTAATCTGAGGTAATCCGGGTTTGTGAGCTGCATGAGTCCCGCTGGCTGCTGATCCCGGAGCTGAGGCTGATCTGGGGCCGCGGCGGCGCAGAGGCACCGAGGACCAAGCACCATCTTCTCCTCCCGGCTCAGCATGAACCTGATCGGGGGCTACCAGCACCACCACCACCACCACCTGATGCACGAGCCCTTCCCGTTCGTCCAGCGGTGCCATCAGGACTCGCCCTACTTTCAAAGCTGGGTCGTGAACCACGGCGAGGTGCCCCCGGACTTCCAGATCCACCAGGCGCCCTACGCGGCCGCGGAGCTGGGGGCGCCCGGAGCCACGCACGACGGCCGGCTGGAGGGGCTCCAGGCCGGGATGAGCAAGAGGAGAGCGTCGGGGCCGAAGAAGGAGCGCCGGAGGACGGAGAGCATCAACACGGCCTTCGCGGAGCTGCGGGAGTGCATCCCGAACGTGCCCGCGGACACCAAACTGTCCAAAATCAAGACTTTACGCCTCGCGACCAGTTACATCGCGTATCTGATGGACGTCCTGGCCAAAGACTCCGGGGAGACGGAGGGCTTCAAGGCCGAGATCAAGAAGTTTGAAACGCGGGATTTGAAAAGGAAACGGGAGCTGGTGAGTCTCTGCCCGAACCGGACCCGTTTTCTGGGCTCCAGGAAGAACCCTGAAGGTCCGAGTCCGTCTGAAAACTAATCTGYAGGCCTGGAAATGTTTCAGTGTGACGAGAGAAAATCTGAGTCCAAAGAGTTTTAATGAAATCTCTCCAAGAAAAGTTCAAACTAAAGGTTTTACGCATCAAACTAAAGGTTTTACACAACAAAGGTTTTACACAACAAACTAAAGTTTTACACAACAAACTAAAGGTTTTACACAACAAACTAAAGGTTTTACACATCAAACTAAAGTTTTACACAACAAACTAAAGTTTTACACAACAAACTAAAGGTTTTACACAACAAACTAAAGTTTTACACAACAAACTAAAGGTTTTACACATCAAACTAAAGTTTTACACAACAAACTAAAGTTTTACACAACAAACTAAAGTTTTACACAACAAACTAAAGTTTTACACAACAAACTAAAGGTTTTACACATCAAACTAAAGTT